CTTATTGATATATTTTGTATTTCTGAATATATTTCTCTTTCCCAGAATAGTTTTTCTTGGATAGGTTTTTAACATTTTGGAAGGTTTTAACATTCTCTTTCAAAGTAAGACATTTTTCCCCTCCATGCAATATTGTTCTGAGATCCTTTCCATTTCTGAGATTCAATGAATCTGAAATCATCTACCATTTACAACTTGAATTTTTAGTCTTATTATTTTATTATCCTACGTTAAGAATTCACATATCTATAACACTTTAAGATTATAAAGCACTTTCTTCACATCAACCCTCTAATTATATATATTGTTAATTAAGCATCCCTAATTTTGAATAATGTATATGAATTTAGGTAGAGAAAGGGGGAGGGCTTAAAAATATTAGCCATAGCTAGTTAAAGGTCTAAATAATAAAATTCTTGTGAAGAAATATACTTAAATTACTTTCAAGTACACAATATTATAAATGTAGATTAACAAATTCTCAGTGACAACCCTACTTTGTGGCTGACATTAAGGAGTAGGAATCATTCCAAAGAGCACGTTGTTTGTAAGCAAAGGGATTTTAAATGATTTTGAAAGTGCTTCAGTTTTGTTTTTTTTTTTCTTTTGAAAATATTTCAATGCATCTGTGTTCCCATCACTCAGGGTACTCCAACTACTAGTTCAGGCTTCAACCCAACCAGGTTTCACATCTCATGTGAGTCTTATTTTTGTCTTCCCACAGATCCTCCAGGGATCAGCTCCCCCTTTCAGGCTGTCCATCTGTTTTCCTTCTATGCCCGCATTATATGACCAGTTTACTTTTCTTGGCCATATGTTTTCCAGGGATGTCTACTTGGATGATGAGGTTGACACACACATTGCCAGAGCTAGCTCAGCATTTGGGAGGCTCCAAAAGAAAATGTGGGAGAGTTAGGCTGCCCACCAAACTGAAGGTGTACAGAGCCATTGTGCTGACTTCATTGTTTCACACATTTCACACATTTCACTGTGAAATCTGGACAGTCTACCAGCCATGCCAGAAATTTGAACTCATCCATTTGAATTGTCTTAGAAAGACCCTGAAGATCACCTAGCAAGATAAGGTGCCAGACATTGAGGTCTGCTCTTGAGCTGAACGGCCGGACATTCAGACTCTACTTCAGAGAGAACAACTATGTTGGGCTGGCCACGTAGCTTAAATGACAAATGTACGTTTACCTAAAAGGCTATTTTTACAGAGAACTCTCATAAGGCAGATGCTCACGTGGAGGTCAGAAGAAGAGATACAAGGATACTCTAAAGATCTCTCTGAGAAGTTTGGAATTGATTGTGAGACATGGGAGACACTAGCTCAGCATGGTGTGCCTGCATCCAAGAAGGCACTGTGCTCTTTGAGCAAGGCAGAATCTCAATAACAAAAAAGGAAACAGGAGATGCACAAATCTGGAGACATCCCCATCTCAAATATTTGGACTATTTGTGCCCGACTTGTGATAGAGCTTTCTGAGCTTGTATTGGACTGATCAGTCACAGTAGGATACAGTGTACATTGACCCCAACATCATGACATCATTGGTCCTCTTCTGGTATGAAGGATGAACAACATGACCAGCCCATCGCCTTTTCTTCTCAGATATTTATTGGATGAAATTTTCTGTTCTACTCCTTGTGATATGATTCAGTCAACTATCCATTTCTCCAGGGACTAGTCAACAACTTGAAAAGTTAAAGACATTTTAAGGATGTCTGTGTAAATGTAAGTTACATAGCCTATCAGTTGTCTGGGTTTTTAACTGAGAATTGGGAAAGACCTTAGCTTAAAAGGGCCAAGGTTTTCCACTGCATCTGGGTCCATCTCCAGTCATCCTGGCCTAAATCTTGCCGCTGACCCCAGGTGGTTCCAGAGAAGAGATCGAGGCTGGTGACTTTGCACAGTCCTCCCTCACTTAAATCCAATTCACTCGCATGTCATGGTATCACCTCCCTGATGTCATGGTTCTCTTTGAGAACGAAGGACAAACAATAACAAAAACAACTGAATGGCTAGTGCCAAAATTGCTATAACCCATTATTTATTTATAAATGGATCTCTAGCAACCTTAGTCATTTAGAACATATTCATGAACCTGAAGGTAAAAATGTGCCTCTAAGCTGCTAAAATACATGAACTGTTCCCCCACTCCATTGGGTTATCTTTGCTCTCATCTATTATCAGTGAATCCACTGCTTGGGTTATGATTTCTGTCTTCTGTTCTAAGCCTTTTAGTCTCTTTCTATTTTTTCCCTTTAGTCTTAATATGATTGTTTATGTCTTGCTTAATTTCCTCCATCCATTCTTGCAGCCATTTTTTTCCCAAGCTTAACTTGCATTTACTGTAGAGTTACTCTATTTTTCTGGTGTTTCCCCCAGGTTCTTCTTCAGTCATAATATTTATTAATTGCTTTTGGAGTTTTCTTCTGTTTATTGATGACTCTATGCTCAGTTCTTAGATTGGAACTTTATGAAGGGGCCGGGTTCTCTCCTATCTTGCCCACTTGGGTGGCTGGACCTTGAGTCTTGTCTTCTCTCTAGGCTAGATTCTGTTGCTGATATTCTGGGCAATTCTGGATGGGAGAGCTTGTTTCTAGTTCTCCTCGATGCTCTGCCTGGGACAGGGAGCAGGACCTAGAACAAGCCTGGTTTTCAAGCACCTGGTAGCCCAATGAAGACCCTGGCTTTAGCTTTTTCTCTATCTCTGCTTGCACAATCACCAACTAGGAGTTGATTTTTTCCCTTGATATAACTGACAGACTCTGATAACCTTTCTCCAGGCTGAAGTCCACATAGGTAGCTGTGTGAGGATCTTTGTATACCACTGTGTGGCCACATTGAGCTCAGACAGGAACTCAGAGCTTCATTATGGTATTGTTGATTACAATGGGTGCTTGGCAGATAGCCTTTCTGATTCCTGCTTCAGCCTTCAGGGCCCAGAGGCCTAACCCAGATACTTACTACTTCACAATTGAAGTATTTCACTTTGTCATTGATACTCAGAAACTAATCTAACTTATGTGCCATTTGAGAATTATTGTCACTGACCAAGCCACAGACCAAACAAATAAGACCTGTCTCATCAACAAGTCACCAATATCTGGTTTCCAGTAGAAGGCCCTCCTGACATCTGCAACGCCAAAGACTACAGAAACAGAGAGAGAAACAAACATCACTGTTGGGTCTGTGTTCTTGGCCCAAATGTTAGCCCACCATATCGCATGGAGGTCCAACATAGATTTAATGGGAAAGTAAATAGCCTTCAGCCTCAGACCTATCTTTGATCTCTGTCTTTGCTCTTGCCTTAGTCATCATGGACTGGATCTCCTCGGTAAGAAGCATGGCAGTGTCTCCTGACGTGTCTGCAGGCCAATAAAAATTTTAAAAAGACTCCTAAAATAGTGGTAATGTATCTTGGAGACTGAGCTGGCTTAAGGCATCCTGGAAGGCTCCAGGTGCATCTGCCTCCTTTCCATCTCCTTGATTTCCCAACACTAAATTTTGGAAATCAGACTTTCAGAACTCACCCTCCAACTGCTTTCCCCCCGTACCAACACACACACACACACACACACACACACACACACACACACTCCCCTTTGCAGGTCTTCGTGGGCAGTGACCTACCAAAGAGCCTACTTTGTTCCCTGCTTTGTTCTTACAGGATATTGGAAATCATTCTGGCTTCAGGCCTCATTTAGAGGCCTGAACTAACTGACCTGGAGAAGTCTTATTAGTAGTATTCCAGGTGGGAGGTAATTAGGCACCTGAGCTGGTGTGATAGCGGTATAAGCACAAGAAGAAGTAGGTATGAAGACTCAACAGGGCTTGGCGCATTTGATGAGGTGAGCATAGGGGAAAGGCAACTCAACAAAGATGAAGATCCTATCAGACAGTTCTAACACATGTGAGGAATGCTAATAAAAGCTGTAGGAGGAGCTCAAAATTATTAATTAGGATGAGGTTTGTATAACCTATTATCTTAGTTATCCATCAATCACTGGATAATATCCAATTATTTAAGCAGTAAGATGTATGCAATAAATTTGGAATTAGATGATCTGAGTTCAGGTCTTAGCTTTGCCTTAAAAACGATGTGATCTTAAGTAAATTATTTAACATCTTTAGGCCTTCGTTTTTTTCATTTGTAAATGGGGGATATTAGTATCCTGTAGGGCCTATCTTTTTGTGTTTTTTTTTTGTGTCTTTTCGTGTTATCTTTTTGTGTAGATTGTTGTGAAAATCTACATAAAGGTCCATAAATTAGGATATCATGCTCTGAAAAATGAAAAACAAGTCCATTCTCTCCTTCCTTCCTTCCTTTCCTTTTTCTCTTTGCTTCGTTCTTTCTGTTATCCATTTATTTATCTGTTCATATCTGTTTTTGATCCATTTATTTCCTTATTTGTATATATATATATTTATTCATTCATTTATCTATTCCTCCATCTACCAGATTTATTTATTCACTCATTCATTTGTGCATTCATCATCCATTTACTTTTTCATTCATTAATTTATCTATTTTTCTATCTATTCATTCATTCATTTGCCTTTCAAGTCATGAGCCACTTCATATTGTTATTGTGGAAGCACATGGTATGTTTTAGTGGTATGTGTGTGTATCTTCCTCATAAATGGAAGCCTGAGAGCAAGTTGGTAAATGCTTGTTCCCCTTGTTGCTGAGGCAGATTGCTTCTGCTGTTGCCATGTCTGATTTTCACCTGAGGTCCCAGAACCATCCCATGTCATTGACGAGGTCACAGAATGCTTCAGAGGCCTTGGTGACCATTTGGACCCTAACAGCTGCTCAGACTGAAGCAAGACCTGAGAGCTACTGCCTGGGTCCATCCTTGTGAGTCAACATATTTGGAGCAGAGGCAAACCCAACGCCAACTACAAGAGCACTGAGAACCTACTTAGAGCAAGGAAGAAGGGAATCAGGTGGCTTTAAGGACCTTGCCAAGGGTTGTTTAGTTAGCTAATCATGAAACGCCATTATGTTGACACTGGGAATGAGAAGGATCTGCCCTATATCAAGGCTCCATGCCAATCTGCTGAGGAGTTGGATGATGTGACCTGGGTACCTTTGTGGAAGCAGGCAGGTAAGAAGAAACAGAGCTTAGGGCAGAGCAAAAGTTGCCTTCCTGGGATGTCAGGGGCAGAAAGAAAGGCATTGAATTCTACCCATGTTGAAAGGTTCTATGACAATGAAAATGATTATTCTTTTAGGAGAACAGTTCTCACAATGTTGACTGGGTGGGTCCATTGATGCAATCTTTCTGCATGCGTAAATAAGAATTTATTCCTTAGCTGAAATTTCTTTCAGTTGTGATACAGGCTTAGTTACCCTGGTCCAGCGGCGGGGAACCAATGGCCTCGAGGCCACATGTGACCCTCTAGGTTCTCAAGTGTGGCCCTTTCACTGAATCCAAACTTCACAGTTTGGATTTGTTCTGTGAAGTTTGGATTTAGTCAAAGGGCCATACTTAAGGACCTAGAGAACCACAGGTAGCCTCAAGGCTGCAGGTTCCCCACCCCTCCCTAGTCAAAGGTATGGGAAAGGAGATTGAAACTCACATGAGGCTTTGGATGACAACAGTAACAACAACAACAGTAATGTGAAATAAGATCCATATCATCAGCATCGGTAACGATAATTGATAAATAACTCATGTTTAAATAGTGCTTTAAGGTTTTCAAAGAGCTTTACATACATTATATCATTTGCTCTTCACCATAACCCTGTGAGGTAGGTGCAATTATTTTTCTCTTTTTCCAGATGAGGAAACAGAGGCTTAGAAAGGTAAAGTGAATCTTCCAAAATTACCCAGCAAGCAAATGGAAGACAGAGAATCCCTTGACTCTAAGACTAGTGAGATAACTCATTAATGACACACCAGAATCAGTACCTGACTTCTCATTAAGTATGGTATTGGAATCAGAAAGGGCTGAACTTGAGTCCATACTACTACTACTACTACTACTACTACTACTACTACTACTACTACTACTACTACTACTGTTGCTGCTGCTGCTGTTACTACTACTACTACCATTATTACTACTACTGCTAATTACAATAAATATATATCTGAATCTGAATTTGAACTCAGGGCTTTCTGAATCCAGGCCTAGGGCTATGTTCACTATGGAACCACCCAGTTGCCTCACTCTTACTTCTAGGATCAAATATAAAGTCTTATGTTGATTATTTAAGACTCTTTACCACCTGATTCCTTTCCATCTTTCCATTTTTTTTTTAAACATAACTCCCATGAATGCACTATACGGCCCAACCATACTTATTGACTTGCTATTTCTCATGGGCAATCCTCCATATCTCCCTTCCTTGTCTTTGCCCTGGCTGTTCCCCATGCCTCTCTCATCCAACCTCCTAGTTTCAGAATCTCTGGATTCCTTTAAGATGCAGCTCAATCACATCCTGCAGGAGGTTCTGTCCTAAGGCAGCTAGTGCCTTTCCCTCTAAGTCTACTTTCTTCTACTCTGTATTCATCTTGGACGTAATGACTCACATGGATGGCATCTCCCTGTTAGAATGTGAGCTCTTTGAGAGTAGAGCATCATTTTTTTTCTTTTTCATTGTATTCCCAGAGCTCAGCACAGTGCCTGGCACTAGGTAAACACAAAATAAATGTGAGTTGATGGACTGCGAAAAAGGAAATTGATGACAGTTTAATTTCTTTCTATAGGAGATGTGAAGGAAGAAGAATGTGCACCCGTCCCTGGACCTTCAATAAGCAGAGCCCAAGACGCTGGCTTAGAGTTCAAGGCTCATAGTCAGCAGGGGAGGAGTAGAACTCTCTCAGCTTACCAGTCTTGTTCACAGTATTACTCTTGCTTCTCTTCCATAACCAACCCAGAGGAGAACAAGTCTCAGCAAAACATGTATGCCTTTTACACCCGGGTTCGGACAGTCCGGGGTGTGGCTGTGGCCTGGGAGACAGAGTCTGGGTTTGAGCCAATTGGTATTAGACCTCGGGTAAGGGAGGCTGAATTCCCAGAGAGGCAAAGGAGGGCCGACTCTCCCCCTGAAAGTATTTCTACTAGCGACTTGGTCAGTGAGATTGATTCTTGGGAGGGAGATGCCTTTCAGGAATTTGAAGAGTCTGAGACACCAGTACCATCAGATTGTACCCAAGAGATAAGGGAAACACCTGATTGGCTGATCACCACAAACTATGGCCTCCGCTGCTTGGCCTGTTGCAGAATCTTTCCCAACTTGGAAGGCCTCTTACACCATGCCCAGCATGGGATCAAGGAGGGCTTCAGCTGTCATATTTTCTACCGGGAAATGCTTCAGAGAAGACAGTTTCAGAATCAGCTGCTGCATCAACCACCAGAGGACCAGGATCAGGGCCAGGCCCATAGTAGTGAGCCTAGCAGGTGCCATATATTGCTGTTTTGATCTTAAAGAGATAAGCAGTAAGCTGGAGGTCACGTGTCTGGGGAGCTGGGACTTCTCCCTTGTAGCATCCCTTTGGGTCACCCCAGTTTTCTTTTTTTTGGGGGAGGTTAAGTGATTTTCCCAGGGTCACGCAGCTAGTGAGTGTTTTGTGTCTGAGGCTGGATTTGAACTCAGATCTTCCTGACTTCAGGACTGGTGCTCTATTTACTATGCCACCTAGCTGCCCCTACCCCAGTTTTCCAATGACTCTTTTGATTTATCATGATCACCTCCTGAACTGACAGCATAGGGATAGATAGGGAGAGTAAAGAGGAAAGTGGAAAGACAGAAGACAATAAAAGAGGATGAGGAGATGAAAAAAGGGACAAAGAAAAGGAGAAAGAAGAAAATTTCTCAAAGACCACGGAAATTGTAGAGAAAGGGGTCCTCTTAATTGTCAGCTCTCTGAGGACTAAGCACAGAGTGCAGGGAAATCAGGTTCAAAACAGCAGCTAGCTGAGTGGAAGATACTTTGAATTTCAGTGTAAGGGAGCATAGGACTTCTTAGGTACATTTCCAGTATGAATACAAAACTAGTATTCTTTTTTCCTCCTCCCCTTCCTTTCCTGTTCTCCTTCATTTTCTTCCTTCCTTCTTTCCTTCTTTCCTTCCTTCCTTCCTCTGTGCCTAATACTATGGTAGGTTTCAGGAACACAAAGACAAAAAATAGTTTAAAAAGCTTACATTACCTTACCTTACCTTACATTACATTACACCTATCGTCATAGGTGAATAAATTTAAAAATATATATAATATATAATCACACACATGCAGCATATCTACATATAGAGAGAATACACCTATGTATGTATACATGTGCATGCACGCATGTGTGTGTGTGTGTGTGTGGTGGTAGCTTGGGGGTTGAATTCAAGCCTCCTGTAGACGGTGATATGAATTGCAGTCTCGAAGGATGTTGTTATAATGTATTTGAAGAGTGACTGGGGAAAAAATAGAGGGAAGAAAAATAAGACAATAATCCTCCCCATCATGATCCTAAGGAGCAGAGATGTGTTCTCTTTCAGTGAGATTACTAAGTTGGTAGAGGAAAGGAAAAGAGAGGAAGGAGGAGGAAGAGGAGAGGGAGAGAAAAAGGAGCCATGCCAGGAAACAAACCAACTAACTAACTAACTAACTAACTAACTAACTAACTAACTAACTAGTGAGTCTAATAGAGAAACAAAAAATTGTTAATTGAAGCTTTCAGAGCCATGATATTGTGCTGGGGGAAACAAGACAAGGTCTCTGTCCACTGGACTCTCCCAGGGCTTAACCCTTGAATTGACATTGAAGGTTAAAAAAATTATACGGGAAGGACCTTTTCTTTCCTTAAATCATCATTAATGAGAGATCAGACAGAAATGATCTGAGTGCACAGAGGCAAGGGAAGAAAACCTTTTTGTGTTAATCATTAAAATGAACAAAACATCAATATCTGTAAGAGGCAGTAAGACTGTCAGTTCCTTCATTCCCTTAGCTTGATATTCCATGTGCCTCGAACTAGAATCTCTGCAGTAGCCCAAAACTGGATTGGATCCAATTAGACTAGACTAGATTAACCTTTTGGGGACTGAGATGATTTTGACTGGGCATAAGATCCAGCTGACCACATATCTTCTTTTCCCCTTCCTTCTCTTTCCATCATGCCACCCAAAGAAAGCCTCAAGAAAAACGAATCTTGCCAGAACTTGAATGGCAAGAGATGTTGATGAAACAATGTCTTGTCTTTCTTTTTTAATGACCAAATGTCACCAATTATTAACGTGAACAAGAAGTCTAATTTGTGGGTTGCTATGTTGCTATGAGTGATCTGTAGACTGCATTTGCAATTTCAAATACCACATCTTTCTCATTAGAGTTTGCCCATCTTATTTCAGGGCTCAGGCCAAAATAGGGGGTATCCACAAAGAATATGCTTCTACAATGGCAGAAATGTTTACAGGGTCTGATTCCCAGGGTTTTGAAATATTAAAGTTGTTTCACATGTGTCGTTATTGTTTTTTAGCTTATCAGCAACAACAGCAAATGAGCAGTGTTCCAGGAAGTCCTATGTCATCTCCAAGGGAATGGATCAGCAGAGAGATCAAGAACAGAGCTAAGAAAAGTGAAATGATGTGAGAAGTCAAGAGAAGGTGAGAGAGAGGGAGGGCAAAAAAGAGATGAGAATGAGAAAGCTGGGAGAAGAGAGGAAAGGGTGCAAGGAGTGAAGGGATGGGGACAATAGGGAGGGGACATTGGTAAAACTTTGGGTCTATAATACGTCAGCCTGGAACAGGAATGTCAGCTGGGGTGAAATGTTAGTGAATTTCTTGCATGTGAAAATGCTGCTTTATAGAAGGTGGTGCTGTGACTGTCTTTGAACTATGAATGATCAGTTTCTGAGTGGCAATCTCCAAACCCCTCATCAGTCAACCAATCAATCTACAGGCATTTATCAAATACCTACTATATACTAGGCACCTTCCTGGGTGGTGGCGAGACAAAGACAAAAAATGAAGCAGTCTATTTTTGAGAAGCTTATATGCAATAGAGGAGAAAACACACATGTATGAACATATATAAATATATGTGCACACATAAATATAAATGTACATATGTGAAGAATAATGAATACAAGATAATGGAATACAATATAGTTAGGGAAGGGGGGAGATTGAGGAAACTTAGAGAAGAAGATGACATTTCAGCTAAGTCTTAAAAGAAATAGACGATTCTATCAGATGAGGTGAGGAAGGAATAAATTCCAGGCACATGGGATGGTCAGTATAAATGAATGGAGAGGGGAGAAGGAGCTTTATGTGTGAAGAACTGAGAGAAGGCCAATTTGAACTGGAAAAGAGGAATAATATATAATGAGGATGTGAAAAAAAAAGTTGGAGCTGGTCAAAAAGGGCTTTGAAATCAGAACAGAGAAATTTATATCTTATCCTAGAGGCCATTAAAAGTCATAGGAATTTATTGAGTAAAAGAATGAATGATCATGTAAATTAGTATGAGAGACAGAAGTACAAAGTAAGAAAGTAAAGGCTCTGTCTAGAACTGACTGAAGGGAAAAAAAAAGAGATTTCAGGGTGCTTTCCAATTCCTGCTTTCTCCTGGGTTTTCTTGAAGGGGAAATTAAACAAGAGTCTTTTGGGCTCTCCAAAGGACGTGACTTTTTGGACTTCCTCGGAGTCTCAGTGTTTGTGGTATTAACCACTCCAGGAGTACGCTAGCATAATAATTGTTTCTTGTAATGGTTCTTTCACAACAACTGAGGTCTTCAGATAGTGAGAAAGGAGCTGAAAAGGGCCAAGTGGAGGAGACCTGGAATATCATATGTAGGGAGATTCAGTCAATGGGCATGGCTAAGATAATACATTATTTTGTCAGATGCCCCAACACTCAATATAATGAGGGCAGATCAGGTCAGCATGTCTAGGAAACTGATGTTTGGCTCAGGGGAAAAGATGATAGCAGTCCCAGGGTGGGATGTCTGAATTTGGCTCTAGGGCACTGGGACTAGGGCTGTGCTGTCTGTTGGAGGGAAGTGGTTACTTTGGTTTGCTACCAGCTGAATCAGACAAATTCTCATTTTAGCATAGAAGTCTTCTCTAAGGTTTTATCTTATGTTCCTCCTCCTCCTCCTCCTCCTTCTCCTTCTCCTTCTCCTGTATTGATAGCCTCATCAGCACCCATGGGTTGAAAATAATTTTTTCCCCCACTTTAAAAAAAAATTATTATCAGAGGGTAGCTAGGTGGCACAGTGGATAGGGAACTGGCCCTGGATTCAGGAGGACCTGAGTTCAAATGTGACCTCAGACACATAACACTTACTAGCTGTGTGACCCTGGTCAAGTCACTTAACCCCATAGCCAAAAAGAAAATAAAATCTATTATTTATTTTGTTTTTAATTTATAGAATAAAATAAGCATTTCCATAATATAATATAATAAAAAAGATGATTGCACATGAAAATGCAATTCTATTATGTACAACTTGCTATTCCTTTTAAATATGTAATGAAGTTTTCTTGTAAATTTCTTTTTTTTTCTTTTTTCTTCCCTCCCCTCCCATCCAAAGGATGATTACCATTAGACACACACATATGTATGTGTATATATATGTATATATACATAAACTCATATATGTAAAACCATTCTATACATACTTCTATTTATCAGTTCTTTCTCTGGATGCAGATAGTGTCTTACTTCATATGTCCTTTGTAGTTATTTTGGGTATGTATAATAGTCAAAATGATTTAGTTACCAAAGTAGTTCTTAAAACAATATTGCTGTTACTGCATACAACATCCTCTTGGTTCTGCTCATTTCACTCTTCATTATTTTGTGCAAGTCTATCCATGATTTTTCTAAAATCATCAAGCTCATCATTTCTTACAGCACAATAGTATTCCATATCACAATCATACACTACAACTTGTTCAGCCATTCCCCAATTGATGAGCATCTCCATAAATTGTCCAGTTCTTTGCCACTACAAAGAAAACTGCTATAAATATTTTAGGACATACAGATTCTTTCCCTTTTTCCCTAATCATCTTTGGAAAAGACCTAGTAGTGTCATTGATCATTTCTATGTCATATTTCATATACATACATACATATGTACACATGTATGTTTATATGTATGTATAAAAACCCTAGCTGTCACTATATTAGGCTCATGACTAATGTGACAGGCAGATTTTAAAAGGCCCTAAGTTTATAGTAATTGTGTCTTGGGAAGTACAGTTATGAAATATGTGAATAGCTTGTGATTATGTCCCCATTTAGAACACAAAACCCACAAAAATAGGTTGGGAGGCTAAGAAAATTCACCCTCCGGTATGGCTAACAAATCTGTTTTTTGCTCTTATGTCACAAGCACAAGGACTCCAGAAAAAATATGAGGACATGGTCAACCACAGATGTTTAATAGAAATGAGATTAGATCAGTTGAATGTAGTATCTGTTCCTTGCATATGACTCTCCATCTCCCATCTCCACACCTTTGTGCTTGGTCATTCCCCATTCCTATAACACACACTCTCCTTACCTCTGCCTCAAAGAGGCCTTCTCTCCTTTATCATTTGCCATCTTATGAGAAAGTCTTTCCTGACCCATCCTCCAACCTGCCAGTGTCCTCCCACCCAAATGACCTTATATTTAACTACTTTTTATGGATTTGTATTTATTCGCTTTATATTTGTGCTGTATGTATATGTATTCACATGCTTGTTGTCCCTCCCATTAGAATGAAAGTTCTGAGAATAGGGAATGTCTCATTCTTTGATCTTGTTTCCGGTGCCTAGTACACAGTAGGCACTTAATAGGTGTTTATGCATTGATTGAGGAGAGTCCGGGCTCTCAAAGGCTATACCAGTGGAGCACAAGCTCTGGCAGGTTTTGCCGAGCTAGGAAGGCTTCAGGTATGGGCCCAGTGATAGATTGTGCATTGCTTGTTTGGGCAGAAGTCTGTCTATGATCCTATGATCTGTAAAATGGGTATGTACTACCTATTCACAGAGTTGCTAAAGGAAAACATATCGCAATGTTTAAGAACTATGTAGATGTGAATTGCTGTCATTTGCTTAGGGCTGTCCTGGGCTATGGGATTGATTAAACATGCTTAAATATATGTTTGGAATCATGTGGAAGAAAAGAGAGCCAGATGTTTTCCTCCCCCAAATTGCTTAGGCAGGACCGACCTTGGACAAACTGGCCAAGTTGGCAGTCAGTCCTTTTCCCTTTTATTTTCCTCTTTATTTCCTTCTGACACCTTTACTCTATCTCCCCCAGTCACCAGCACCAACATTAAACACCCAGTGCTATACAGCTACCCTGGTTACCTTGACAAAAAGGAAAGTGTTTGATGGGTCCACTAGTTATTTTAGTTTAAAATATTTTAATGCCCTTTGGCTCTTATTCCATCAATATTTACATTTACATTTACATTTACATTTACAGAGGAATCCAAAGACTTGACATGTTAACAATGGGATTTCCAAAACTCTAGCACCTTTTTTTGGGGTGTTATGTGTGATAATTTTGGGGAGTCAGACCTTTCTCTAACATCCCTTAAATCGTACCACTGAGCAGCTTCATTACCTGAGACTGTTGTTTGTATGTGACTTATCATATTTCCTATGTCCTGATTCAATACGAGGATTAGGAAGAGATGGTGATAAAGCAAGAGTGTTGATCATGTAGCCTCATGCTACTTTACTACAGAAATCGCTTTGCCTCTGTACCAGCATCTAGACAGGTACCTGCAAAACCCTGTTTTTCATTCCAACTAGGGCTCTGTCCTCATTACACCTGGGTTTTTTATGTTTAATTAATTTTATTTTTATGTCACATTTATTTTCAAATATATCCCTCCTCTTCCCTACCCTGTGACTCTTCCCCTTATAATATTTTTTGAAAACTCAGTCAAAACAACTGGAATAATACAACTATTTATAATATTCCACACCCAGAGTCCCCCATCTTTTCAATAAAAGAATGGAGGTGAATTTTCTTATGTCTTCTCTGGTGCCAATAAATTAACCAACACAAATTTATTAAGTCCCTACTGTGTACCAAGCACTGTGCTAGGTGCTGGGGATACAAAGACAAAAATGGAACACTCCTTGCCCTCAGGCAGCTTCCATTACATCAAGAGAGACAACATGTACATAAACAGGTATATTCAAAACATTTTCAGAATAAATGCAAGGTCATTTGGGAAGACATTAGCAGCTAGTCGGGGGGAGGGGTATAGTATTAGAAAATAACATAAAGAAAGTACTACTTAAGCAGAGATTTGGATGAAACAAGGGATTCTCAAAGACAGAAGTGAGGTGGGCATTCCAGGCATGGGAGACAGCCATTGAAAAGGCAGAGAGAATGGGAAGTAGACTGTTGTGTGAAGTTTGGCTTAATCATAGAGTACAGAACGAAAAGTAACCAACAAACATTAATTAAGCACCTGCTGTGTACCAGGTATTGTGCTAAGTGGTGTGATTACAAAGACAAAAATGAAATAGTCCTCACTCTCCATAAGCTGATTGTAGCTTAGTCATTATAATTGCCCAGCATTCAGTTGTTACTTCATATATCTTCCTATGCTTCT